CCCTGGGGGGCATGTGGTCAATAAAGGTCCCAAGCTATCACCCAGACTGCTGTCCTGCATCGAAGCCACCACCTTGAGGAAGGACTCATCTTGACTGCAGCCAGCCCAAGCTAGGGGACTCTGCAGCTCAGAGATCTGTAGATGACCCTAACGCATAGCAAGGGAATCATTGATCGAGGACTAATGAAGCTCCCCTCAACTCCGAGGCAGCCTGTCCTGGGATGGCCTTGTCAGCGACTCATGCAGGGACTTTCGTCACCCCAGTGGATGCCCAGATGAAGAGCAGACACTGAGCCATGAAAGTCAAGAGGCTGGGCCAAGGCCACATGTCCAGGGAGGGACAGAAGGAAGAGCCAAACCACTCTCTTGGTTAATAGGCATTGAATGAGGCCCCTTCTGGGTGAGGTTCTGAGGTGAATGATGCTAGGGACACAACAGTGACAAAGACAACCCCAGGCCCTGCCTCACAGGGCTCTTAGTCCACTGGGGGTAGACAGACCCATCTTCAGACAGTGACAGCGCAGAGTGGCCAGGGCTGTGACGGGGGAAGCCCAGGCAGCGTAGTCAGCGCTGTGTTGGGGAAGCCCAGGGGCCCGTGGGAGGCCAGGGAGGCCCCTGACCCACACTGGGGGTGATCAAGAAGGCATCCCAGAGAATTCATAAGATCAACCGGTGGACTGAGGAGCGCATTCAAAGGCAAGTGCATGTAACACAGTGTGTGTGACCCAGATTGTGGAGTGGACAGACAAGGATGGGGGGCAGGGCCAGATGATGCTAGACTGCAGGGCTTGGACTCTGTCCCAGGGGCACTAGGGAGTCAGGAGGGTTTCAGGCAGGGGAGGGACAGGGTCAGAAAGATCCCCCTGGCTGCCATGCAGAACAGGGACCAGAGAGTGGAGCCAGGCTGGGAGCCCATGGGAAGCTGGGACAGGGCCGGGCTGCGGGGAGGGCAGGTGGGGGTGGTAGAAAGGACAGTCAGGTGGCTGACAGGATGGGTTGATGGGCCAGGTGGAAAGGAGACGGCCAGGGTGAGGCCCAGGGCTCTGGTTTGCAAAGGGGGACAGTAGGGCCAACCCTAGATGGGGACAGGAAGAAAACACATTTTCGGGGCCAGTACTGAGGCCAGTGTGAGACCTGCTTGGTCCGACAGGTCCCAGGGGACCTTCAGGGGTAGGTATCCGGAGGGACTCCCAGTCCTGGGCCTCAGGGAAGAGGCTGGGGCAGCTACAGAGAGGAAATTCCACGAGGGTGGGTGAGAAGCATGGGACGGACGAAGACAGCCAAGGACAGGGATCAAGAAGGGCCTGTACCCCAAAGAAGTCCTGAGGGTCGGCAAGAAGGGAGGAACGTGCAGAGCACAGCTCCGGGTCGAACACGACTGTCTGTTCTCTGGGGTCACTCCAGGGCCAAGGGGACGCCTCTCTGGGGAGGCTAAGGCTACTGCGCATGCGTGGCAGGAGGCCACGGATGCGCATGTGCTTAGGATTCCCGTTCACACTGCCTAGCACGCACGGGTCACGTGACAGTCACATGACGACCACTACGGAGCCCAACGGTAGGTTCAAAGGCACCAGGAGAGAAGTCTGGGCTGAGAACTTTCCTAGAGCTTTCGAGGCCTTCAGATCTCCACCAGGCCCATCCCCCGGCCCTCAGACTCCGCCCTCAGACCCCCACACCGTTTCCCTCAGCCCCTCCCCCCGGCCTGCAGGCCGCACCCCCAACACGCAGACCCTCCCCTAGACCCCAGTCCCCGCCCCCACCCCGCAGACCCTTGAGTCTGCCTTCCGTCCCCCGACCTCCTGCTGGACGCAGACCCCACCCGTCCCTCCTCAGACCCGGTTCCCAGTCCGCAGATCCTGTCCTCAGAGCGCCCTCCCCTGGCCCCCTCTCGGATCCTAAACCACAGGCCCCTCTTCCTCCAACCGGTGATCTTCAGAGCCGCCCCCTGCGCCCTCGGACTCCTTTCCCAGGCTCGGATCCTGTCCTTCCAGCGCTTTCGCTGCCCTTGCACGCCCTGCCCGGGCCCCCAAGCCCCCTCCCAGCCCTCGGACTCCGTTAGACCCCTGACCTGCGGGTATGTAGCCCTCCCAGAGCCCACCCGAATTCTCATTCGGACGCCTCCCTTCCCATCGAGACCCCTCCTGAATCCCCTCCCCGTCTAGACTGCCCCCGGACTCCCAGCCAGCTCTGTTTTTGTTGCTTTACTGTTGCCAGAGGCCCGGCCCTTCACTTCCTCCTGCCCTCATGAGACCCCCTAGCTGACCCCGGCCCAGCAGCTGACTGAGTCTGCAGCCCACGGATGCCGTCGCTGTCCTCTCGCTTCCCCGTGGAGCTGGGCTCCGTGCGGGATCCGGACACCCAGGTGGGCCGTCTGCATCGCCTGGCTGTGGCTGGGGGCCCAGGTTGGGGCCTGGCCAGGCTCCTGCGGAGAGGTGAGGGCCTGGCTGCTGGGACCGTCCGTGGGGGCGGGATTAAGGGGCAGAATGGAGGGTGTGGCCAGTCGACAGTTTTGTTCTGGGAACCTTCCGCGTGCCAGGCTCTGTGGTCCATGGTGGGGATTTGAGGGTGAACATGACTTCTAGATCATTGTGAATGACATCTGATAGGCTGAGGATGAGGGTGAGGCGCGTTAGACAGGATGGCTTTTCAAGTGGGGTGATACTTGCGTCCCACAGTATAACAGGCAGTCATGCAAAAGGGGGAGGGAAGGGAGAGACTCTTGGAAGATGGAATAGCCTGTGCGAAGGGCCCTGGAGTCATGGTGAACTGCGCATGTGTGAGTAGCGGCAGGACTCAGGGAGAGGACTGAGGCTGAAACCGTGCGAACCTTGTTGGATTTCGTTGCGTGTGTGCTGGGGAACCGACTGGTGTTGTAAGCAGGAAATTAACATGACAAATAACATTACGTTAACACTTTACAATTTCCATCGTCATTGATTTTTTTTAAGTTGATTGTATATCAGGTCACTTTCTGAACTTGCTTAATAGTTGTAATTGTTGATTCTTTTAGTTTTTTTGTTATTTGCAGATGGTGGTAGTTTGGTTTCAGCCCTTCGATATTTGAACTCTAATTTCTTTTTCTTGACGTAAGGTATTGGCCAGAACTCCTAAACCATGTTGTTGGAGGACATCTGTTTTCTTGTTCTTAATATTAAGGGGAATTGGTCTGTTTTTGAATGAAGTATCATGCTTGCTGTGTTTTTTGGTTTATAACTTTTAGCAAG